ATAATTGATATTTTACCAGTGAGTTTAATATTTTATCCTAATAAAGTGTTGGCAAGATTGCCAAATTTTACAAAAAAAAAAAAGTATTATATACTATTATTCTATTGAAAAGATCTTTAAATATTCATAGTTTTGTTCTATAGTTATATTACACATTGTATCTATATAAGTCTATTACTATATCTTAAAAGCTTTTGTAGCAAAAAAATAAAGATGAAGTTAATTAACTATTATTTGTATGCTTCAACTTTAAAAAACAAAAGTCTATATAATGCATATAAAAAGATTATATATTCTAAACTTCGCACTTACACTACTTCTCTAAATCATTATTTTAAGCTTTTTTAGCTTTTTTTTGTGCAATAACGAGATTTTATCAACATACTGGTAGTTAAGTACTTACAACTTCAACTGGAAAAGTGTAATATGAAAGTTGAAGGATTCAGAGGGATTCAGTGAATATGTTGTAGAGCATAATGAAAGCTTCAAGTTTATTTAATAATTTAATCCCCTTGATAGAAAAGATAATCTACCCGAGCTTCTGAAAAAAGTATTGTAAGACATATAAAAAATTTTCTTTAATAATTGTGTAACCATATCAGAACAATTTCCTAATTTCATCCGGAGGATTTAATCCATGGATCAACCCGGGTTAAACCTGTAATTAACCCGCAGGTTAAATCTGTAGATCAAACCGTCACTTGCAAATATAAATTAAACTCCTTATACATATATTAATACTAAAAATTGCTAACATTATAATATTATTTACTATACATTCTGCTATTGGCTACTTTTAATATATAAAGCACTTCATAAGTCTCTAACAAAAAGAAAAAGTATAAAGCTTTTGTTTCCAGCAAATTTTTTAGTATAAAAACTTTATACAGTATATATTCGAAAATTTTTTTGATCATATAGTTTGCAATATATGTGTCTTGTGAATGTATTTATCAATCAGGCTTGGTTTAATCTTATTAGCTTCCAAAAATTGATTTTTGATTTCATTATAATTCTTCTGATTTATTTCATCTAATCAATGAGTAATTATTTCAACAATTTCTGTTGCAGTAGGGTATTTATCAAAATCTTTATCCATACGTTTCATAGTTAATTTAATATAAAAATCTGGTCCCAAGCATTTAAGTCAATCCATCAATAATCTTTGATACAAAATAATCATCCATCAAAATGCTCTTTATCCGTTCAAAATTTCTGTTGCGATAACTCCAAGACTGTAAATATCTCATACTTGAGTATACAGTTTACCTATAAATTCTCAGATGCTATATACAGATAAAACTCCACAAAATTTTCTATATTTTACTTTTTAAAAAATCCAAGATCAATGATATATGCATTATGCAAATTTTTTTCTGCTGTGTAAATCTTCAAATGTGTTTCTAAGAATGAATTGACTCAAGATCCAAAGCTATATAATATAAAATATTCATCTTTTTAATTGTGTTACTTCATGATTTTGGCATAACATAATAAATGTAAGCAGTGCCTCGAATTATTACAAGAAATTAAAAGGTAATATGTAGTTCTAATAAATGCTTTACAAACAAGACATGATATTTATTTTAAATAATATAATGGTATAATGGCATTGTGTAAGCGGTTTTCGCATTAGAAGCAATGAGTACCAGTGATTAACTGCCCTATTATACTATTAACTATGTACTATAAAGCTGGCAACTTCTGAACATAAGCTCAATCTATAAGAAATTTTATCAAGTTAAATATATATTTACAGCTTTTTTTTAATTCATAGATACGATTTATGTGAAAAAAACTAAAGGCATTAATGTTGGATACAGATTTACTTCAGTATATTAATTTTGTTAGAGTAATATAAAAGAAACTAATATATTGAAGCAAAGAAAACTCTTAGACCCAAACCCGATAAACCTAAATAGAAGGCTAGAGGTGTATATAATATTAGTAATTTAAGGGATACTCTAAAAAAAAATATAAATAAGTCACTAGTCCATGCACATCTTTATCAGAAAATAAGCGAAAGGGATATTAGTGATTTGTCTTGTAACGATTCATTAATTAATGGTGTAACCGATTTGGGCTTTAACCAGTGAAAGACGATCAGGTTATTCTTTTGGGAAAAAAAAATGCTATAAAATGGCTGAGCAAGGATGCCTCGATAAGAAAGGTATGCACTGAGTTTATTGCAGATAAAAATAAAATCTGCCAACCCTATAAGATTATGATGATGCTATCTGAAATCGTATCTTATGATTACTGGGTTGAGGAAGAGTATGAACAAGAGCAAGTTGCAAAAGGTATTACAGACGTTCTTTTGCAAAAGATAAAATTAAACATACTTCATAGAGTTACTGATGGGTCAGAAAGCACTCTTGTAGAAGCTATAGTTCATTTGATTGAGACATCCTTGTATCAATTGCCAGTTGAATATGATATGGAGGTGTCACGAGGCGAAAAACAGAGTGTTGCTAGTAAAAAATACAAAGTGCAAGAAAAAATCGGTTCAAGGGGGAGAAGCCTGATCTAATGGTGCGAGCATTTTTTAGACAAAAATATAATGAGCTTGTATATATTGAGAGTGGGAAATGGAAATCTGATGATAAAAAAATTAATGGTAATCATAATAAGTTGGCCAGGCTTTGCTTATGTAGTTATGAAGAGATCGCAAAAAAAGCCATAAAAGACCAATTGCATAAGATCTATATCTCATTTGGTATAAATATTGTAGGTGAGTTGTGAGATTTGTAACAATGGGATATAAATCGGTTTACTTACACTTTTTAATATATAGGTGATTATTTAGTACTTCATGGTTTACTTCATGAAGGTGTAAAGTATTACCTTCCCATTGCTAAAGTGAAAATTCCGTTTCGTGATAAATCAGTTGAAGAGGTAGAAGAATTTGTTCATCTACTAATGACATTACGGGTATGTTTTCTAAGTAAAATGTGAAACAGATTATCCTCCATGCTTATTCTAAATTTATTATCATATATAGAACTGAATAATTGTAAATCTACTTAGCCTCGCTAAATTTTTTAAGAAATAACACCTTTTATTTTACCTTGTATTTTATTTTCTATCAATAAACCCTGATGGCCGATTTTGCATATATAATTGTGTTTACTTTTGCATGTGTACTTCGTGAATTTATTCTAATGTATTGCTGTCGATGTAAATAATATGTATCATGCATGTATTAATAAAAAATTTTTTTCTTGGCAAAAATGATCTGCGTTACGAAAAGTAACGCGCACGTTATTTTTATTAATTTGAAATTTGAATATACCCGTATTTTATAAAAATAATGGAAAATATTCACACCATTGATTAATTAAGAGAATTAAGTGCTAAACTCTTAACTGAGATTGCCAAGCTTAGAAAGGAAAATGATAAGATTCCTGGGACCCCCCACAGCAAAAAGAGGGGATGGGCCAAAAAAATTTTTTTAAAAAAAAATTCAATATCTTGAAGAATCAATAAGAACAAATTTTCAAATTTTTTTTCCCATCCCCTTCTTTTGCTGTGGGGGGTCCCATATATCAACTTTTTTTTAAAAAAAAATCGCCAACTGTTTTCCAGGCAAATTTGCCTGGAAATTTTATTATCAAATGATTGGTTAGGTTCATCCGGTCTTGTAAAATCATGGCTTTTACTTATCGCTATTACGATTTGGTGTTATAGTAGAATTTATCAAATAATTTAAAATTTCCATGCAAATTTGCCTGGAAAACAGTTTAAGGGATAGGTCATAAAACCCCGTCATACGATCATATAGAAACGTAGAATAATTTGGGTTAAAGGCTGATTGTCTAACATAGTAAGCATTTATGTAGTTGGCTAATTTACATTGACCCAAACATGCGCGTTATTTCGGGACGCACATGCATGTTATTTCAGGTGATACTATTTTCGAAATAACGTTCATGGGCGTTATTACACGAAAATGTGAGCTTTTGCTTAAGTGTTTCAATTATTGACTTAATCCCTCTTTACTTACATATACAGTATTAAGTTATATATACTGTACAAAATTCGTTGTTAATTATAAACGCGAACGTAGAATTTCTCAAAATTATACTATGCACAACTAGCTAAATTATGTATATTAGCACTGACGCCCGTAGGGTAAACTTATAAACGGGAAAGGTTCGACACTAATCTCATTGGGTTTTAATAATCTAATTATAATTACAGACAGATTGATTTAAATTCAATTTCAGGAGTATTAATTGTTGTAAGGTGCACCATATAAGATGAGTTGGTAAATACAAAGTTTTTTCTGGTGAAATATGATATACAGAGAAGACTTTAAGAGAAGACGTTAATTCAAATTACTATCTCATAGAGTACAGTCTTATAATCTTTTTTGGCAAAACAAAAAGTTCATTATATCATTAATATAAATGGTTATCACAAGAAAATCCAATGACATAACTATCTGGAAATTTATAAAGTCAGAGTCATTGACGTGCAGGACGCGCAACTTGACCACCACCTCGTTGTTGTTGTTGTTGTTGTTGCTGTTGTGGTTCCTCGGCCGGGCCACCCGTCAATAACAATATGACAATAGGTAGGAAGTACCACCTATTTATATAACAAAAAAGCTTAAAAAAATTGCCATGATTAAAAAACGGGGATTTAAATCGAATTAATATATGCTTACCAATATTTCTGTAAAAAACTTTTTTCTTCCGGTGGTTTTTCAACTGTACCATCTTCTCTTACAGGCATTGCTCTATTTAGTTTTGGCCTTTTGTTAAATAAACATTTTTAAATTCATACTTATATTTAGTAACATATAGTTGACAATTCTGGCCAAGTTACCATCTCATTGTAAAATAAATAAATAAATAATATACTTAGTTCCGCCCACAGCCTTAATTATTTGAACAGTAGTTTTAAAATCTGCCGTTTGCTATTTGATTTCGTTATATAATAGAATTGTTATAAGTCACAAAAGTGATATTTTTCTAAAAAAAAAAAATTCATCCATTTCATCTAACATAATGACTCACTGATATCGAAGCAAATGTACTATTACATTGATCAACAGAGGTATAATAATCAAAATGAAACACATTGTTTCTATTTAAATGAATTATGATCTCATCTTCGAATTTCGATGTTTTCAGCAGACACTACAATTTTGAAATTTAAAATTATCGACGAATACTATTATAATAATATTATAATAAGTAAAAATTATACTAACCAACTTTGTAAAAGATTCCATTACGTTTTCTGGATTTTTTTCATTGACCAATTTTATTAGATAGTATGGATTATTATTTGTTTTATCTGCATTTTCAAATTCATTTATTGATAATACATCTCCAGAATTAGAATATTTTGCGACAGCACGGGGTAATGTTACAACAATTTCACCGCGTTTTGAATATTTTGAGTGATGAGGAAGTTTATGGTAAACACCGTATCTAAGTTCATTGGTCTTTGATATAAAATTGAATCGGTTATGCTTGCTTTTCTTTTTTAAAATGTTTGTAAGACAAAAAACGTTAAATTTTATGCACCTTTCCATGCTCTTGTCCCCATAGTACACATGTGTGCAGACAAATTAAAATTGCTATAACAATCGAAAAACGTACGGTAAATACCATCATTCAAAGTTTCGAAGTTTGAATGAGCATTGAAACTTAAAAAATTCAATTTATACTAAAAAAAAAACGGTGATCAATTACTATAAATAGTATATATATGTACAGTATATATACCAGTATATGTACTGCGTTGAATTTTTCGCTAATTGTTCTAATCGCTCGCGTTTAATGTGTGTAAAAAAAGTTATTTAATTTCTTCATAGCCAATAATTTTCGCTAATTTTGAACTCTTAGATTATGGTGGACTCATTTAATGAGCATAAAGTTGATACTACTCTTTTGAACAAACGCATTCAATTCGAGGATCAGCTAGCTACAGTTCGTTATGTTGGGCCTGTTCCACCTACAAAGGGAGAGTGGCTTGGCGTAGAATGGGATAACGTAGTAAGAGGGAAACATGATGGTCTTCATGAGGGCACGCGCTATTTTACTTGTAGGTTTGTATTAATAAGCATACTATATGTGTTATGTCTGTAATTTTCAAAATAAATTCTTAATATCTTAAATCAAATCAATAGTGTATCCAATAGCGGTACTTTTATCCGTTTTTCGCCAAAGATAAATACAGGTCGTAGCTTCGTCGCTGCTCTCATTAATAAATATATTGAATACGATGGTGATGGAAAGATACAAGGGAATGAAGAAGAGACGTATGATGCTCAAAAGGATTTAGACACGCTTTATTGGGCAGGAAATACTAAAATCGAAGTTGAAGCATTAGGATGGGACAAAATTCGTCGTAAACAACGGTAGGTATTAATAATTATAATATTAACAATATAAAAAAATTTTTCATACCTTTTGATATATTTTAGAATAGAAAATTAGACCTGTTGACTGAAGTTGGTCTTTCTTTTGAGCAAATATCAAATGCCGGTAACCTTGGAGAAATTGAAGCTACATGTCCAAGTATATTAAAATCAAATAGAAATATTTTTATAAATTTAGATTGTTTATTTTCATTTGCTAATAACTATCTCCATTCATGTACAGATATCATTGATTTAAATTTATCAAAGAATTTACTGTCAGACTGGGAAACAGTTGCCCATATATGTCAGGAACTCAAAAAGTTGGAGGTATTACGTTTAAAGTAAGGAAGGATTTTAACATTGACAGTGAATTTTAATATAATTATATATTTTTATTTATCAGTTTATTGGTTTCTGCAACTAGTTATAATCGGTTTCAACCGCTAAAGAGTGTACCAAATTTTTCAAATGCATTTTTAAATTTGAAAAATCTCTCTCTTAATCATACTCGGATATCTTGGGATCAGGTTTATTATAATTCATATTTGATTTACATTTTTGGTATTCTTCTATTTTATAAACAATGATATGTTTATTTCAGATAGAACTTCTTGAACCAAGTTTTCCAAGTTTAGAAAACCTGCAACTTGGTTTTAATAATATCAGATTATTGTATAATAATGAGAATGAAAAGGAAAATCATCCAGTAAATAAAGTTAAAGGATTTGTAAAATTAAAAGTGCTTAATCTTGAATCTAACGGTATAGATAGTTGGGATACAATTGCATTTTTCTCGGATTTGCCTTGGTATTAAATTTTTTTTTCTTTTTCTCGAATTTGTTTAATTTATTTAATACAAAAAATTAATTGACATTTTGAATACAGTTTGGAAACTCTTTTTCTCAATAATAATCTAATTGAGCGCATTTTTTATACAAAGGAAAATGAAAATAGTAAAGGATTTTCAAAATTGCAATATTTGAATGTTAATGAAAACAAGATCAACGATTGGAATAGTATTGATGAACTCAACAAATTTCCTTCATTAAATGAGCTACGAATTAAAAAAAATCCATTTCTTGACAGTACGTATGTATTTATTTAATTTTTATTAAGGTCTAATAGTTAATTTTATGATTGCGATTTTTTTTTTAAAAAAAAAAAAAATACAGACGAAAAACCTACTGAGGCGAATATGTCGATAATTGGCCGAATCAAGGGTCTATCAGCGTTAAACGGCAGTATTGTAAGTAGTGTTTTTACAGATGAGTTACTTGCATACGATTATAGATTCATGATAATATGTTGGAATATCATTGCTGTTTAGATATCTTCAGGGGATAGAGTTGACGCAGAAAGATTTTATCTTAGAGTATGTGTAAAAGATCTTAAAAAGACTCCAGAAGAAATAGAAAAAGAGCATCCGCGATTTAAAGAATTATGCGAACTACACGGTACACCATTTGTTGATGAGATAAGTATGAAAGCTACCAGCAATGTTTTAAGGGATCGTTTATTAGGTTTGTATAGCTTGTATAGCTGATTATTATTTTTTTTTTTTGCCATTATATGAACTATTGAATCAATTTTTTTTGCCAATGATAATTTATATTTTTTTACGAATCATAGCACTCACAATCACTTCTCGGCCATCCCTTGAACAAGATCCTATAAAAAAGATTTCTAAAAAACTTTTAGGTAACGTTTCCATTTAAGCATAATGTTTTATGTTAGTATGCATACCTTTGTCTAACTTTTTTTCAATTATTACAGGAACAATGGAAATACGAAATTTGAAAAATTTGCTTCAAAAACTCTTTGGAATACCAGCTTCGCGACAGCAATTATTTGCAGTTACCAATTATCAAGTATATTTTACATTTGATTGTTGACTTTTCTTTGGTTTATTTATATTAACTTGATTTCAATTTAAGACAGAAAAAGGTACAACAGTATTAAAAATGGAGATGAATGATGACTTGCGTCAATTATCGTATTATGATATTTCATCTGGTGACGAAATCGTTATTCTTTCGAATTAAAGATATTTATTTTTGATAAAGGCTATGTTATTCTAAGCGGAGTATTGGCTAATGATAATTCATGACCTATCATAGCAGTAATTTAAAATGTAGTTCTTGTTCTTGTGTATTATTAAATATATATTTATAATATAGGAAGGAAATAAATATTTTTATGCAACTACAACTAAAATTTACTCATAGATTTATATAAATTTCTAGTTTTAGATCAATACTTTAATTCTATCGCAATGAATTTTTCAGAATATGAACTTATTTCAAGGCTGAAATTTAATTCTGGATGCCGATTTTAAATAAAATCTGTTTACTTTTTTTGGGGGTTAAATGTTTATATAATAGATATTGAAAACAAATATACAATTTAAAAAGGTGTATTTTATAGTTCAATACACATCTTTTTTATCATATTCTTATATGTTACAAATCTTTAGTAAATCTTTAGTGAATCTTTAGTCGAATATCAGTAAATCACAAGGATTTTACCCTCATGTGATGACAATAGTAGTCTTACTAGCTCGCGGCCCTGTGTCGTATAATAATTAGCCAAACATATGATTAGCTTTCGCTGGGTCGATGACATAAGTATTATTCATATATTCAAGGGCAAAAATTTCCCATGCTCTCCCATAATAATGCTAATTCCTGATCAGACCAAACCTTATCATTAAGTGATGTATTTTTTAGCATGTGCAGAGCATTATCGTATAGGCGCGTAATAACGCGCATCTGCGTGATAATTCGAATCGTTATCCTAATTTTTGAAGAAAAAAGTTACAGCTGCTAAAAACTATGTGCGTTGAGCGCGTAACTTTGGGTCGCGCATAGTATTAGTATTATTTTAAGTCAAATATGCGATTTTCAAAAATGGAATTTTCGAAATAACCATATTCGTTATACGGTACTTACATCTTGCTAGCAAACCAACGACTATCTACCTTGGATCGCCAAAATGTTTTTTGTTTATTGGCTTGCATATATAGCGCCTACCTTTTATTTTTATATTAATTATCCCTCTCTTGGCTTGGATAATAGTCATTATAATTTTAATTGGTGTTACGGTACGTATTGTCACGGACTAAAAGTGACATCTTCGAAGGCTTGGATGGCGCATGATGAAGAGTATTACGAGAGATGAGTCACAATAACGTAAGAGGCTTATTATATATGCGGATAGTAAGCCCTCCAAAAGTTATTTAAAGGGCAAGGTCCCACTAACGTATGATAATTCCCTTTAATTATTAATAATTATATAACCAAATCACAATAGTCACGCTAGTAAATTAATTATTGATGGTGTAAGCAGTACTGAATATTGCTATCGCTATATTTAAATAATCAAAGTTAGAATTAAATTTCTAGCCAAAAAATGTTATATCAATTTATTAAAAAATAGAGATAATAAAATAAATTTTGTAATTAAAATTTTGTTTCTGGTGAGTTACCTTGTCATATTAATTCATTATTTTTCATGTAAATTATAAACCCTACAATTCAAGTCGTAACCAGATTGCAATAGTAAGCTCTTCTTATCTCTCACATTATATTAGTTCTTTCCAATCGCAGGCATTCTTGCTATATGTCGATTACCTTTAGAACTGCATCAGGTATAAAGGGTGCTATCCTAATCTTGATATACTTTGGTAAGTTCTGATCACGAGTATCTTGTAATAAGTACAGAAATAACCGTTTCATACGGCATATAAAGTATATATATATAATACACTTTCTTTTTTTAAGATTCCAAAATATAGATCTAAATGAAAATACCTCCCAAACGCCAAAATGATGAAGTCACTTGAAAAATTCCGCCGAGTGGCAAAATCACGTGACATTAGCGAATTTGTGAAAAACAACAATGATAATAGAAGCTCATTGGAGAGTGATTATCAACACAAATTTAACAAACCTTGTATTGAAAGAAACTATGGTAAATATTTTAAATAATGTAATAAGGTGTCTCGATATATAAATTGTCTTTTTTTTAAAAAAAAAATTTTTTTTATTGCTTTTATAGAAATAAACGAAAAGTATTGCGTCGATATCATCAAAGTTTCAAGAAAAATGAGTTACTCTTTATCAAAATTACGTATTTATATAAATTTTATTAAATAAAAATAAGTCATGAAGCCGGAGAAGAAGGTGGCCCAAAGAAGAGTTAGATGCTCTTACCCACGGAATGCATCTACATGATACTTTATAGGCTTCAATAAAAAAATATTTTGGACATAATGGAGCAGGAGGATGCAGATCAGTTTCAAAGACAAAGCGAGAGTAGAATTAGAACGTAGAGTAAAAAATAAACAACCACTTGGCGTATTTAATAAAGTTAATGTTCATAAGAACTTTAAACATTAAATTTTGTTACTATATTCACCAATATGGTGTTCCTGACGAGAGCTTGTTGGAATCAAAAATAACAATATAGCAATAACCGGTCAAATTAGTTGTGAATTTAAGTGGAACAAGACCAGACTTTACCGTTCAAAATTATTCAGATTATGAGATCAACTCTATTATCAAGATATTCTTTAATTATTTGTGTATTTTATTTCATTCTAGTGTTATTTTTTCTTCATTGATTTTCAAAATTCTACAGACTAGTAGAATTCAAAATATTCTTAAAAATTGAAATTACTAGAGTGTGCATAATAATATGATTGTCTTTTTATCAAACTATTTTATTTTACATTATAAATTTCAATTACAAGAAAAAAAATCGGAAATATTGCAAAAATTAATACATTAATAAATATATAGTGTAAATGGCAACTGAAGCGAAATATTATTTCTCAAGTATGTTATTATTTTTTGCTATATACTAATATATAAATTGAATTCCTTTATAAAATATCAGAAGGTGAAAATGTAAAATTAAAATAAGATCATGCTGATAAAGAAGGAAACATCGCTCGCTACCAGATTGTCCAACTTGGGCATTATCCGTTGAAGCAACAAAATCACCCAACAGGAATTTAATGCATATTTTTTAAGTGGAGAAGAAGACTCAAGAAAAAAGAAATCTGCTTTTTGTCATCGGTTTTACAGTTTCTCAAAACTATGAAAAAATGGAGTATAACAAATATTATATATTTTTTTAGAAAAATTTTTAACTTGGTCTGGGAAATACGGCAAAAGGTGATCCCGGCAATAAGCAAAAATTTGCCGGGTTATAAGCAATATTCGGGCCCTATCGATATCTCAAAAAAAAGTCTCTAAATTTCAAAGAACGATTGATCCATTATTTCACATGGAGGAATTGGCAAAAATTGAAATTGAACAATTGATAAAAATATAACCTAATTAATTTTAACCATTTTAAATTAATAAAGAACTACAAATTATTGTTTAAAATTTTTTTAAAATTCTTAAGTAAGATTACATATTTATTTTCGAATTATTAACAATTAATATGTCACCCCCAAAAAACTTTTAACAAACCACTAAAGAAGAGAACTTGATAGTTTTTTAACGAATAGTAGGGAATAGTAGGAATAGTAGGATATCGATCTAATTCAATTGTTTCCAGGTTTCTTTTTCTTTAATATTAGCTATAGTTTTATGAGTGCCATTAGAATATTCTTCTATAAATACTTCTAAAATACTATTTATGTTTTTAATATGTAATTGTCGATTAGAAATATAGGACATTTTAAAATATATATGAAAAGATATCAAGTCTCGAAAGAAAATTCACGATCATAAAAGTTATGCTTACAAATCAAAACAATAAATGAGATTTATGAACTGCTGTTTCGAAATAAATACATCGCTAATTTAATTCGAAATCAGAAACTTGCTCCTTAATTCTGAATCACCCTATTACTGTAATCACACCCGAATCAGAATTTATCACTGCGAATCAAAAATTTATCGAATCGGCAAATATTTGGTCGTAAATTTTGCCTGATTTTCCGGAATTTATGAAAATGCGAAGTGATCGAAAAGAAGAGCAGCCACACGACTTAGCCTCATGATGCCATCACAAAAGCATGTGAGAATCAGAAGATGGCGCTAAAAGAAAGAGTACGGCGTATGAAGATCAAAGACTGTTATGGTTAACAACAATGGAACGCTTAGAATAAAGAACCAGGTAAACTGGTAAGTATAAAAACTCGGAGACGACGAAGCCAGGTCCACAAGTGCTTGAACAAAAATTTCACCCAACCCACCCTGAAGTGGTGAAGACACGTGATTCTATCATTTCCTCACTCATTTCTTCTGCACTCACAACCGGCTTGCTTCGGCAGGCGGGGAATAACCCCACCGGCTACAATAATTCTACAGCAATTACTACATGGCAGGCGGGAAACCACCGGCTACGATTGCTTTCACGGGACTATAGTTTGGAACCGGTTTTATTTTCATATGTTAAAACCGATTAAACCCGGTTTTAACATATGAAAAATAAAACCGGTTCCAAACTATACACGGACGTCATTGCCATCAATCACTTCTCTCATACTTGACAACTTTCAATAAAAATAACCCCGGCCTAAATTATTTGTCGGAATAGTCCAAATAAATACAAAGTGTGTAGTGTAATGCGAATGCTTTTCGATTTGTTTAAAATACATGTCTCGATACAAAAATTTATAACAAAGATTGATCTTGTACCATAAAATTTCTGAGTATTTTAAATCAGATTCTTTAGTATATGATTGCTTATTAAAAATTTCAAGAGCAATGTATGGTAAATTCCATAAATCCTATCAGTTTCTAATATTAGCCGTAATGAAAGTCCTTGAAGTTAGCCTGTAGTATGTAAATCTTTAATGAATAAATCATGAGGATGAATTATCAAAAATCTGATACAATTCAGTGTACGTAGCGGATTTAATTTATCTTTCCAATCCATTGTGCTATAGTATGGGATTATCGTGTAAGCAACCTTCTAAAGCATAATCCATAAAGATAATTTTTATCTTTTAATATACCAAACATTATATAAATTTTTCATGATTGTTACATTTATGAAATAATTTAAGTGCAATTATATAATTGCAAATCTATATCTTTTCTGTCACTTTAATATCTTCAAATTCGCCATAAGAAGTCCATGATAACTGATGCTTATTCTCAACAAATATATTTTTTTTCAACTCATCTTCAATTTTAGAAATTTTAAGAGTTATGCATCCATTCGCTTGTAACTAATGTTTATTTATAAAATTTGTCTATGATAATACCTGTTAAATCTTTTTTTCCCTATCTTGTGATATCAGATATAAAACAATATTGAAGTTTATTATATTAAATACAGTATACAAACGTATTCAATATCAATTCGGCAGATTCGTGGAATTTTGACTTAATCCAAAACTCGAATGCTTCTAAAAACTGAACACTTATTTAAAAATCCTAATAATTTGACCTTATTTACAAAATCCCAAATCCATTACAAAATAGATACAGATAGAGAATTTTAATGTCAGAATAGTTGATGGTAATGTACTTCCAATTAATACGAAGCACTATGCGACACACAAACACAATACAAGCACATAGTGTACTCTATTACTAACGAATCTATCTCATATTTATAGCGCGTAAGTTACACAAACCCCAAGAGAAGACGTGCGTCTAGAGAGGTTTTCATAGGACGTGCACTTAGGGGGGTTGCATTTAGGGGGTCTGACTGTATTATTCTGTAACTGTGGCTATACCAACAAGGTTGAAAATCAAAGTTTTTATGAAAGTCAAAATATTTTTGTCATGGCTGTGTACAGTACAAAAAAATAAGTTACAAATTATCTATATTGGTAACACAACAATAATATAGCATGTTCAAATCAAGTTCATATCCAACTTTAAGTTGCATGCATGACATTCAACGATTTAAATACAAACTATTAAATCAGCTATTGTAACGGTAAGGTTTGCGGTAAATCATTCAATATGGAAAGTGAAAACATAGAATTAGTTGATAAAAAAGATGTAATAAATGAAAAAAATATTGATGAAAATAGTGAAGAGGTAAGGTTTGTCCTTTATTATATACTGAATACTGTTATTTCAAGATAAAAACACGGAGGGACCAAGAAGTCGAATATTACAATTCCTCGTTCTAATAAAATCAATTTTACGATTAGAAAGAACGCGCTATTAAAAACCTTCGAGTAACTCATTCATCACCTTCAGAACAACGTGATGAACTGTTACAGTTCATAGTACGCAAAGAACATAAAATTTTGGAACTTCGTGAAGAGTTGAAACGTCACGAAGAAGAATTACTATTATTAAAAAAACAATGGCAAGCCATTTCCTCCGAGGATATAAATGCTGAAAATACTTCCTCAATATTTTCGATTCCGTCGAACATTTCTAATAATATTGAAGTTACTGGGTTTATGAATGGATTAGGGAAAGGAATTCATAGTGTTATAGGTGGTATACATAATTTGAAAGAAAGCGAAGCGTAAGCCATAATTTCTTTTGATAGGTAAATTTAGCATTCCTATGAAATTTTTTGAATTGAATTATACCAATTAAATTTTAGAACTCGTGAAAAGTTATCGCAGATTAAAACGGCCGTTTCGGAGGTTGCAAATATTCGGTCGTAAGTATTAATCACTATTACATTATTCATCGCTACGTTAATAGTTAAACAATAATCTATATTAATAGGATTCAACAAACTCGACAAAAAACCGCAGATCTCACTTCTCAGGCTTGGTCCAACATAAGCAAAGGAATTTCCTCCTGGGTTGACTACGAAGCGTATTTATCTTTATGAGACATTTATTTTTTTTGGGTCAGTGAAATTAAATTAAATTTAATATGAATTTATTTTTCTTAGCATTAAAAATGCTCGTAAAAAGTCCTACAAGTCAGTCCCAACAGCAGAGACGTCGGAAACACCAACTATCAATACTGCAATATCACCGACAACATCTCCAGGTACAACATCTCCGACCTCGTCAATATCAAAAGATCTTATTTGGTCAGCTATAAATTCAGATCTTGATAGTGAAAAAAAACTATCGATTGACAAAGATGACTCCATCAACGAAAAAAATTTTAATAATGAAAAGATTGAAGGTGTGTTAGCAGGATCTCCAAAAGATGAATTCGAAGAACAATTGGTTTACGTTATTGGTGATGATTTTGGTGATATTGCATAAACTACTTTAATTAATATTTTTGAGTATACATGAGTGCTGTAAAGCGAAAACCTGTAAGTAAAAACTTTATTATCGAATACTGATCGTAAACTTTTTTTAATTATGTAATATGCCAAATTTTCCGAATTTAGGATCGGTACGGTTAAATTTAATTTTACACTTTTTTCTTGTATTTATATATGGTCATGATTAGATGTAATTGATTTATTAAGTTAATAATAATTATTTATTTAATAAAATATATAAAATATAACAAAATATTGTAATTTATTAAACTAAAGAGTTATGGGACATGTTTAATTAATGTTGTGAATGTATATATTATTGGGCAAAATTGTCGAATAATTAACGTTTAATGGTTTTCGGCATGTCGATTTCCCATGGCGAATGATTCAAGTAATTTTTACACATTTTTCTTAAAAAAATGTCAGCAAAAGGTGACAATTTACTATATAAGATTAGTTAGATTAGTGATTGGACCCGGGTAGGTGCCGCAGACACCCTAGATGCTACGCAGGTGGAATATTTCGAATTTCACAATTCTGGCCTGCATTAGCAGTAAATTATGATGTGGGCCGCAGTAGATTCAAAAAAAATTCGATTTGCTTATCCCTAGTGATACGTATTTTATTTTTAAATAAAAATTTTATACAAACTTAACCTATTTAACTTCGAAGACATACAGTATATGATTAGTTTGTATTGGATATTGATGCCGTGATCTAGAGACATAAATTTATGTGAATAACAATCGGCAAAATTTAAATACTGAATTATTAAGTATTTTAACAAAATAAAAGAATGAACTTATAAAACTTTTCTAAATTTAAATTAAAATTATCTAAAATTTATTAAATTTAAATCAATTTATCAAAATTTAAATTAAAATTATCTAAAATTTATTAAATTTAGGTAAAATCTAAATGGTGCCCCTATGCAATTTGTGCCTCTTAGCAAAAATTTAGCCTATAATAAAAATTAAAATTAGATTAAAATTAGCAAAAATGTGTAAAATTGCGAGAGGAACATTTTTGCTTAGTTACACAATAGAAGGTTATCTTAATAAAATTTTGAGATATTAGCAATTTTATGATTTTAGGTTAGGGTTAGGTTAGGGTTAGTTAGGGTTAGGTTAGGGTTAGGTTAGGGTTAGTATCTAGTGTAAAATTGTGAGAGGAACATATTTGCTTAGTCGCAAAACAGGGGTTACCCTAGTAAAATTTTGAGATATTAACGATTTTATGATAGAGGGGCACAAAGTGCATGGGGCACCAACTAGTCCAGTTCTAAATTTAAATCAAAATTTATCAAAGTTTATCTAAAATTTATTAAATTTAAGCTAAAATTTGCCTAAATTTTTTGTGGTTATCAGAAAAAAATTTGAGTTTTTAAAATTAAAATTTCACGGATCCCTGACGTAGCGTAATAATTTTCCGTTTATACTCTTTGGCCTTAATATGTTACAAGAGCCAATGTTTTTGACTATAAGTTCATCGAGTATTATCGGGCTTTCTTATGAAGCTTGAGCCCGGCCCTAACAATAGCGGGTTTAAAATTATGAGCCCGAATTGACCCAAAGCCCGGGCCGGCCCGTCCCGCACCCTAATACTAGTGCACTATATATCGGTTCTAGTGAGAGCTTATTTTGTAATCCTACAAATTTATTTTGTGCATGTTTTTAATTCATTATTTGGGTTATTCTATGAGTACTATAGCTTTCTAGAAAAATGAACTGGTTTATTTTTGCTGGCATACAGTCATACTCCTCTATAGTCACCTCCTACATAATCACAACTTCTATATAATCACAAAATTTTGAACCAATTTATTAATGACCTTACTAAAAAATACCCCATATAAGCACATTATAGTTATAATCACATTTGTGTATAACAAACTGAGTGATTATAGATACTGATCTCTGAATAAATTATGAAAGTTAATTCAATGAAAATTACAATTTTTTTTTTTAGAGTGAGACTAAGGGCTCGTCTTTTTGAGCGTAAAGTTTCGTCATTTTAAGCTTAAGGTTTCATCTTTCATCAGAAGAATTTGGGATTTCGACTTTCATTAGATGGTTTGTCTTTTGGGGGTTTAGGTTTTGTTTTTTATCATCATGCGGAAAAGGTTCGTCTAACAACTATAGGGACAACTATAGTAAACTAAATAAATTAAATGATCAGATAGTCTAAAGTAATAGTTTGACGAATTAAACTATCTATTCTTTCTGAAAATCTATTTAGATATATAGTGGGCACGATTTCAACAAGATGCCTTCACATCTTCATTAAACCTGAACCCAATGTCATTTATATATTGTTGCCTGACAATAATTTTCAATAGCGTCCTGATTTACCCTCTCGGTGTTTATTGTTCTCGTAATTAATATAATTGTATTGATGATTGACGCTTTAAATATCACTAATAGCATGAACTTTTTCTTATATTTACTTTAGTCCATCCCTATTTGTGGTGTTCTCTTTTCGTCGCTTTCACAGCTTATATCGGCTATAGTATTATTAAAGGTGTAACTTATATCTTTTATAAAGGTAAACTACAGAGTTTCGCTCATATTTTAACATTGACTGAATTTCTCTATCATCATAATAGTCGGCAATCACTTTAAGTGCGAATCACGTGGTAATGAAATTACTATAAATGCCAAAATCAGTTTTAGATCTTAAATTTTTTTTATTCAACAAAATCATCGTAAGCATGAATAGATCTTGAAAACTTGGACCTTAAACGTACTTATACTTTTGAAGAGTTTGAGTGGATTAATGAACAGCTTAAAAAAAATTCAATCGAAATTGATGGGCAACCCGTAGACCTCTTTGAATTCAAAGATAATAAACTTGTACCAATGCCACTGACTCCTATAAAATTTGAGGCTGTTGTTTTGGAAATTGTAGCACAACTGAGGAATTGGAATGTCATGACTGGTCAAAATGGTATTATAACCTCATCTCAAGGAGGATTTAATTTTAATGTTGGTGGCAAAAAGACAATTGAAGCTCCAGATGTTGCATTTGTTCCAAGGCGAGTATATGACAACTTGACTGAACAACAACGTATAACCTTCAAGGGTGAACCATTTTCCCCGATTTTCGTTGTTGAAGTCGCAAACATTACAAAAAGATCAGTTTTCGATAAATTAGATTCTAAATTCAAAGACGATTACCTTTCTGAAGAATCAGCCGTCCAACTTGGATGGCTGATAGATCCAGAAAATAAAGAAGTTTTTGTATACAAGAGGGGACGAAATCGATACCATCATGGATGGAAAAACGTTGATGGGGGTGAAACTCTGCCTAAATTTAAATTGAGAGTTCAATTGATCGAACAAGTCATCGATGTACGTTTTTGTAGTCATTTCTATATATAAATTCTAAATAATTTACTTATAATTGACTATCCCTTAATCCGTATGTAAATTCGGGGCAAATTTGCCCCGAATTTTGTAAAGTAATTTTTATTCTACTTAAATTA